GAAAATGATCTCTCTCCTACCAGGTAATTTCTATAAGTATCTTCTCTACTTTGTCAGAATGAATCTTTTTATTATATTTTGGTCTCACTTGCTGTGTACTTCCATTCTCCTCTGGGCCTATGTCCCTTTTAAGTCTAATCACAGGGTCATTTCCTATCTTTTTGAAACATCACTAAGCTGCAGAGTAATAATGATGGTGATGTTATACTTTATATAATGTTTTCAGACTTCTTTCACACCTGTCTTTCACAACAGCTATTGGAGATAGGCAGAACAAGTGTAAATTGCTTGTTTTTATGGATTAAAAACTTGCAAATCAAAGTGTTAGCTAAAGTTACTTGTGTGTTTACAATCACAAAACTAGGAAGTGTTTGGAACAGGAATCCTCTTTTGTCTGAGCCTGGGGCCCTTCCACTGTTGTTGCTTCCTGTTATAATATATTCCTGTCATTTTCTCTCTGCATTTCCTTCATGCTTTTGTATTGCCCACTGTTTGCTTAGCGTGAAATCCAGAGTAGCAGTTTCTCATGTAGCTTTGTCAAGACTTCCTATAAAAAGAAATTTTAAACAAAGCAGGTCCCTAATTTGCCAGATGCTCTGTACTTAGGTCTTTGAGCATCTGGTGCTGTTTTGCTCCTGTGCCCATGTGGTCTTATGTTAGGACTGTGCTGTGTAGGGATTGGTGTCCCAGGGCTGCTGTAACAAACTACCTCCAAACCACGTGGCTTAAAACAAGAGGCACTTGTGCCCTCACACCGCAGGAGGCCATCAGTCCAAAATCAGGGTATTGGCAAAATAGGTTCCGTTGTAGAAGCTCAGAGGGAGAATCTGTACCATGCCTCCTGCCTCACTTTTGGTGAATCCTTGGCTTGTATTCAGTCAGTTCAGTCACTCAGTCCTGTCCCACTCTGCGACCCCACGGACTGCAGCACGCCAGGCTTCCCTGTCCATCACCAATTCTCAGAGCCTGCTCAGACTTGAGTACATCGAGTCAGTGATGCCATCCAACCATCTCATCCTCTGTCGCCCCCTTCTCCTCCCGCCTTCAGTCTTTCCCAGCATCAGGGTCTTTTCAGATGAGTCAGTTCTTAGCATTAGGTGGCCAAAGTATTGGAGTTTCAGCTTCAGCATCAGTCCTTCCAATGAATATTCAGGACTGAATTCTTTTAGTATTGACTGGTTTGATCTCCTTGCAGTCCAAGGGACTCTCAAGAGTCTTCTCCAACACCTCAGTTCAAAAGCATCAGTTCTTCAGTTTGTATTAATAGCTGTGTAATTCCAGTCTCTGTCTCTTTCTTCATCTGGCTCTCTTCCCTCTGTCTGTGACCCTGCATGGCATTCTCCTCTCTGTGACCCTGCATGGCATTCTCCTCTCTGTGACCCTGCATGGCATTCTCCTCTCTGTGAGAGTCTGTCTCTGCATCTCTTTTCCTCAGCTTATAAAAACACCAGCCACACTGGATGAAGGGCTAGCTCTGTTCCAGTAGGATCTCATGTTAACTTACATCTTAATTGTATCTCCAAACACACTGTTTTCAAATAAGTTCACATTGACAGGTACAAGGGGTGAGAACTTCAACATATCTTTGGTTGGTGGCACAGTTCAGCCCATAACAAAATATGTCCTTTTTTTTGTCTCTGCTTTTATTGTTACCCATGTGTTATGTTTATACATATGCTTCCATAAATATTTATAGAACTACTCTTATTTACAGATTACTATATGGACTTTCCCTCCCATAATTGATATAGATATGTATATATTTCATTCATAAGTCTGAATTTGCCATCTGCTTTGTAATAAACCAGGGAAATTGTGTTCAATACTTTATATTAAAATTTCAATTATCCATGGTCTATTAATATCACAGACAGTGACAACTGGTTTATATCATATGGACTTTGTCTTATAATTTTGCTCTTTTGTATTGCTCTTCTATTAACCCTTGGTGTCAAGATTGTGTTAGCTTTATTAAGGTGAATGCTGAAAGGGAAGTATATTCAGTGTTACATTTTTTAAGCATTTGATAAAACTTACTTTTGAAACCACCTGAGTCAGGTGTTTGTGCTCCTTCTTCCTTTTCTTATGCGTAATAAATGTATGGCTCCGTGAATTTTCACAGTGTTCACTCCAGGTCAAGAAATAAAATAGCATCCCTCTTATTTCCTCCCTCCTTGCTAAAAGTAACCACTCTCGATCAGCGTGTCAGTACCTTAATTCTAGTTTTATCTGTTGTATGCCTTGTGTATTGGAGTCATATGATATGTGTTTTGGGTCTGCTGCTTTTCACTCAGCGTTATGCTGGACCATCTATATTTTTGCAGGTGGTTGTAGTGTGTTCATTTTCATTATTCTCTAGTCTGTCTGTATAGTCAGTCTGTCGTGCATTAGAAGGGCCTTCTCTCTCTCTGAAAACATGCAGACCACACACAGGATGTGATTAGGCAAAGACCAGAAATAGGTCTCTCCTTTTAAAAATCCATTAGTTCACCGGTACCTCCAGCTTCAATCCCCAGTGTTTGTTGTAACCTTTTCCCTTCCCATATTTGTGTTTCCTTTGTCTTACAGAGAGAACTCTGGGTCCCCTTTTCCCTGATAGATTTTCTTTTCTCTTTTCTTTGTAAATTCTGTTTATCTGGCTGTGTTGGATCTCAGTGGCAGCACGAGGGACCTTTGTTGCATCACGTGGGATCTTTTGTTCCGGCTTTCCTGGGCTCTCTGGTTGCAGCATGGGGCTTAGTTGCTTCACAGCCTGTGGGACCTTAGTTCTCCCAAGGATTGAACCATTGTCCTCTGCATTGCAAGGCAGATAGTTAACCTCTGGACCGCCAGGGAAGTCCCTGGATTTTCTTATTTGATGAATCCCCTGTGTACGACAGATCTCTTTCCACCTTTGAACTCTTCCATGTGAAGATGCCCTCCTCACCCTGCTCAGGCGCTCATTCTCCCGGCCGGCCCCCCCCCACGGTAACGCTCCTCACTGCTCCCAGGCTCCATCATCCCGTGCAATCCGGCCCTTGGATGGATGTGGGTGGTCTCCTCACAGTCTCTGCTCTGATGCCCAGCAGACCAGCCTCTGCGCGGTCATCTGCTGTCCTCTGCCCTACCTCAGGCTGTAGGACTGGACCGTCTGGGAATGAGCAAGGGCCTCTCTAGATTCTTAAGTTTCACTTTAATGTTTCTGGCTGTGGGTTTTTTTCTTTCTTTCTTTCTTCAAGTCCTTTTAGTTTGAGGTTGTATGTTTTCTCTAATTCTGGGAAGTTTATAGAAGTTTATCTCTGCAGGTATTTCATCACCTTCATATACTTTTTTCTCTTCTATATATTCTGTGATGTGGATGTTGATTACTTCATTTCTCTATTCCTTATCCCTTTAATTTAATTTTGTGTATGTTGCCTCTCCTGATGTCTTCTAGCAGAGTAGAAGACATGGTGGTGTTTTAGCTTATTAATTTAAATGTCTTGTTTTAGCTTATTAATTTGTTCAGCTGTATCCTTTCTGCTCTTCGATCTATCCATCTCTTAAGTGTATTTCCTTGGTTATATTTTTCATACATAGTATTTTTATTTGCTTCATTGTGATATTTTCTTCTTGCTTTGTATCTAATAGCCTTTCCTATTTAATTTATTTTGAACTTTTATTTTCTGATTTTCTCTTGTGAACTCCTGTGTCCTGGGGATAATAGACACCTTAGCTCATGAACTCTGTGAGGAGGGGTGGAGAAAGTCCAGTTTGCACCTCATTTGTGCATCATCTTCTGTGTTTAAAGAGTGAAGCCAGGGTAGGGGAGTCGCTTGGGGGAGATGACTTACCCAGGGTCACTATAGTGTGGAATCCCTTCCCAGACGCTACACTTTTCCGGGTCTGTTTCCCTTTGTTGAGACCACCCAGTGCATGGAGTGTAGAAAGAGGTGGGGGGAAGAGGAAACTTGTGAACATGCAGGGACCACCCAGTGACGTCCACAAGGTTCTAACTGCTTTTCCACCAGCTGACTCGACTGCCACCCACATGTTACCCTGCAGCCTCTTGCCAGATCCGGGCTTGCTGACAGTTTTTCTGCCTTGCAGCCACAGTTGTCTGAGCCTGTTGGAGGGAAAAATATTTGCCAAAATAACTGTACCACACCCTAACTCCCATCTCTGGTGTCTGGTCCTTGTCTTCCCTGTCTGTTTTTTCACTCTGTACTGGGACCGAATTTCCCTTTGTTGTCCCAGGGATTTCTGTGTGTGAACACAAGTGATTTTTTTCTTTTTCTTTAAAATAGGTTCATGCTATATATATGATCTAGCAACTTGCTGTTTTTAAAATGGCTACATGATTGATTACACAGGAAGATAGCTTGGATTCAATAGTAAATATCTTTAAAATATATGTATGTGTAAGTGTATGAGTATGTGTGTGTGTCTGGTTTTATATCCCTTTTATAATGAACTGTATATATATTATTGCCTTATCATCTTAAGTATAATTGTAAGTTAGTGATAGGGTATAGAGTGTAGTCATTCGTGTTCTGTGACTTACACAGAACATGGCTAACCATTTCCCTCTTTTTTTTTTTTTTTTAGTTTCTTAATAGCTTTTAAATATTATGATACTGAAATAAACCTGTTGTAGACAAAGGGTTTTCCATTTGTATTAATAGGATTTTTTTCCAGGATGGATTACAGAATGGATCAAATAGATAAATAGGTTAAAGGATTTTTTTATTCTTAACCATGTAGAGGAGTGCCTGAAACATGTTAGGCATTCAAATAGTGTTTATTGGATGGAACAGTATTATAAAAACTGTTTTCTGGTATGGATGTTTTGATTCCCAGTTTTGATTCCCATACACAAGATGAGATTGTCTGTTCTGCACCATCCTATAATTTTTGGATGATTTGATTGTAATCAGAAGATGTCTCTATCTTTTAAAAAAACTGCTGTCAGATAATATATATAAGGTCTATTTCGCTTTTATTTTTGCGTGCTCAATAAATGGACACATGTTTTCTTGCAGAACTGAATTTGCTCTTAAAGAAATCATGTCGTCTGGCGGTGCTGAAGATGACATCCCACAGGGAGAGAGGAAAACAGTGACAGATTTTTGTTACCTTCTGGATAAATCTAAGCAACTGTTCAATGGGTTGAGGTCAGTGGACTCTTGATGCCTTAAACTTTTTATCTAGTTCTGTATATTTTTTTCCCCACAGCTGATGTGTGGTAAATATCTGAAATTTATGGGCAAAATGTTATATAAATATCTGTACTAGAAATAATCATGTTTTTTGTTGTTTCATTCTCAAATGAAAGAACAATAGGAGAAGAGTATATCTTAAATTGTTGTACTCAAATTGAGTGAGCTGTTTTTTAAGATGCTTTTGTGGCTCCAGTTTCATCCGTCTCATTAGAACTGATTCAAATGAATTCTTTTTAATGGCTGAGTAATATTCCATGGTGTATATGTACCACATATTTCAATGTATAACAAAAACTACTGTAATGATGTAAAGTAATTAGCCTCCAACTAATTAAAAAATAAATAAATAAATAAATATTAAAAAATAAAAAATAAATAAAATAAAATAGGATTATAATATACTGTAATAAAAGTTATGTGAATGTGGAAAAAAAAAAAGATGGTTTTGTGTACATTACTCCACATCATACCTGTTTTACATCTGATTTTACACTTCATAATATCTAAGGAGCCTGGGATGCATACACAGGAGAACCTGGGGCCTCTCTTTCTGTTACATCTTTTCTGTGTACTTGGTTATTTGCTTACTTGTTTTATCCTTTCTTTTTCTTAGGATAAGGTATCTAAAGTGATGATGGAGTTTTTTCAAGATAGTGTCGTTCTTTAGTTGTGCGTACCCTGACTAGTAGCAGAAGCTATATGCACTTTTGTCAAAATGTGTAATTTTGTACCATTTTATATTATTTAAACTGTTTAGCCATATTTTCAATTCATGAGATTCTTAAGATACTGATTTACTTCAGACTTAAAGCTTCATTCTATAGGTAAGATACTAAGGATAAATAGTTGTGGAGTTTTTTTTGGAAACTTTATATGGGAGTGAATAATTATAAAGATAGTGAGTTATTTTTGTTTAATTATTTTTTGTTGAATTATAGTTGATTTACAGTGTATTTAGTGAGTTATTTTTAATTTGCAGTTTATTTTTGGATAAAAATGCAATCTTCTTTTCACATACTTTATAATTGTATTCTGCTATTTGGAATTGTAATGGAGGAGTTTATTTTAAAGAATTTACCTTTAAAAAACATTTACAGTCAAAAAGATAATACAGGGTCGTCAAATGAGTCCTCCATGACCACGCTGTCTAAAGCTCTGCTTTCAATTGCCCTCTCATCTCTATATTCATTTAATCTTCTACATAAAAATCATCACTACCTCAAGTTACCTTATTTATTGCTACGATTTTTTTTACATTGAAATGAAATGTCCCTAGGACCAATACCCTATGTGTCACTGTTTCTCTACTACTTAAGCCAGGGTTTTGCCTGTTACAGGTGTTTCACAAACATTTGTTAAATGAAGGGTTCCAAAGACAGTGTTCCTAACTCCTACACTCTGCTGCTTCCTATTTTGTGCTACAGAAGAGGTCCTTGTAATCAGCTTTTTCTTTTGCTGTGTTGATTAATTGCATCTTTGTAAATAATTATTTTCTCTCACTATTATAATTCAAAAAACAACCCCTGTAGGCCCAGGTTTTAAGTCTATTTTTTTCCTAGAATGTTGTAGAACTTTTAAATTGCATACTTAAAGTTTTTTTTTCTTTGTTCCACTTCATTATCCAGGTATATCTTGTTTTTTCAACATTTACTTGGCCTCCAGTATGTACCATATTCTATATTAGGTACAGATAATTTGAAAATAAAACTGACAGTCCCTGCCCTCAAATAATCTGCGAGGAAATTATAAAAATACAGAATGGGGGGAGAAAAAAAACCTTCAAGCCCATGGCGACATTCTACTCAATGCTAGCCTCAGATTTACCCTATCTGTTAAGCAAATTTTCCTATATATCTCCATGTTCTTGTTTCTTAAGGTAGTAAGAAAAATTAAAACATTTATAGATTTTAGGAATAAGGAAGCATTTAAAAGTTTGCATGAAAATCCCTACCATAACTTATGACATGTGCCTCTCAAACTCCTTATTCTCAACTCTTAAAACATTATCATTGTTAAAATAACTCTGACACCTTTGTTTATGTAGTAACATGTATCAGTACTGTGTTCCTTTTATCAGACATTAATATACCCTTGTACAGATTTGTTTATCCAGTCATGAGTTGCTGAACATTTAAGTTATTTTGTACTTTCTGCTGTTATGAATAATACTGCAGGAACATTTGTGTATCAGGTTTTGCGTGGACATGTGTGTTTCCAGTCCTCTTGAATACATATACCTCAGAGTGAAAATGCTGGCTCATACGGTACTGTAAGTTTAACCTTTTGAGAAACTTCTAGACTGTTTTTCAAGGAGGCTGTAGCACCAGCAGTGTATGGGGTTCCAATTTCTCCACATCCTCCAACACTTATTATTGCCTGTCTTTGTGATGATAGCCATCCTAGGGTGTATGAAGTGGTATCTCCTTATGGCTTTGTTTTGCATGTCCCTAATGACTAACAATGTGAGCATCTTGTCATGTGCTTATTAGGCATTTTTATGTCATCTTTGGAGAAAATGTTTAATCCTTTGATCATTTTTCAAATAGATTTATCTTTTTATTTTTCATTCTTTTTTGTTCATTTGTTTGTTTGTCTTTATGTTTTTATTTTTAAATTGTAGTCATTTTCTGTATGTTGTGGATACAAGTCCCTTGTGATGTGTAATGATTTGCAGGTATATGTTTTCCCATTCTTTGGTTATCTCATCAGTTTCTTAATGGTGTCCTTTGAAGCACAAATGCTTTAATTTTAATAAAGTCCAACTTGTCATTCTCTTTCATCACTTGTACTTTTGGTGTCACATCTAAGAAATCATTGCCTAACCTGAGGTCACTGAAATGTTTTCTTCTAATAGTTTTGTGGTTTTAGCTCTTACAGTTTGATATGTGAACCATTCTGTGTTAGCTTTTGTATATGATGAGATCGTAGGCATTTTTTTGTGAGAAGACATATTTTTACAGTTGATTGTATTTCTTTTTTTTTTTCCTTTGTTTGTTCCTTGTTTCTCCTTACTTGTTCATACTTGTAATGCTTAGATTGAATTTCCAATTTAAATCCTCTAGAACCTCTACTCTCTTTTGATTTTCATCTCTATTCTTTTTCTCAGTATTTTTAGAAAATGTCTTCAATTTTCCCATAATACGCCTGGCATGTTTATCTTGTCATTTCGTATCAGTGGTTTTTGCTAGATTGCTTTTGAAAAAAACTAGATACTGTGTATTTGATCCAGAGTTTACTAACTTTTCTACCTATATATGCAAGTAAGACAGACACTAGAAATTTTGATGTGTTTGTGAACAGAAATTTTTTTTTAGTATGTCTGAGAAGCGTATTAAATTTAGCAGTGGCATTTCTCTTCTTAAAGAGAATTATTTTCCTAATCTGATTCTGAATCATAAATGAATCATAAAGTTCAAGTGGTCTCCCACTGGAGACTCTACTGGACTCAGTCACCCTGTGCCTGCTGTAACGCCAGAACACGTATCCATGAAGCACTCTATAGTTTATAAATCACTTTCAGCTGCATCTTTATCCTTTGGCCACATACCAAAAATACGTTGCCTAAAAATGAATTGCTTTATTTCACCTTCTTTTTCAGTGTTTTGGTTGTGTAAATATATTTTACCAGCTCAGATCTGTTACCATTTTTATTTCTTGTTTGTTTGTTTTGACTGCACCTTATGGCTTTTGGGATCTTAGTTCCCTAATCAGGGCTTGAACCCCGGCCTGTGGCATTGATAGCACTGAGTCTTCACCCCTAGACTGCCAGGGAGTTCCCTCATTTTGATTTTTTTAAAGTGCCGTTTTACCTATAACACAGGTTTTATTTATTTTTAAACTAACTGCAGAGTGAACTTGTTTCTGTGGAAACAGGAGGAAACCTTAATACATGGAAAAATTGTGTGAGATCTGATCTTTAGGGCTATTTATTCACTGTCAGAGAAATTTATTATAATGCTTAGGATACCTTTTTCAGTTTAGTTCTTGTGTTAGGGGGAGAACACACTGACTGAAACTGCCCACCCTAGCTAGGCACCATAGTAACCATTTACATGAGTTCGTTAATGACAGAAGATACCGGTAAGGAACACGGTCTAATGAGCCACCACCACCTGGAAGAGCTCAGGAAAGGTCGAAAGGGAGACACCACATGTCCTGCCACCTCCCAGAACCCTTCTCGCTGGGAGGGTTCTTGGCTGAGCAGTCTGTGTGCCACCAGGAGGGACTCTGAGTCAGAGCGATTGGCCAAAGACAACCCAGAAATTAATTCTGTGACCATAAAACCCGAGACTGCAAGCCACATGGCAGAGCTGTCCTCCTGGGTTCCCTGGCCCTCCCGCTCTCCACCAGGCGCCCTTTCCCAATGAGAGTCTCTTGCTTTGTCAACATGTGTGTCCCCTCAGACAGTTCATTTCCAGTGTTAGACAAGAGCCCCTTTTGGGGCCCTGGAAGGGGTCCCCCTTCTTGCAACACCTGAGCACTTAAAACTATTGGATTCAGGGATTGATCTTTTCATACAACTCAATATCAAAAAAACCAACAATTTGATTAGAAAATGGTCAGAGGATCTGACTGGTTCTTTTTCCCAAAAAATACATACAGATGGCCAACAGATACATGAAAAGACTCTGAACATTGTTAATTATCAGGAAAATGCAAATCAAAACCACATGAGATACCACCTCACACAGGTAAGAATGGCTTATCAAAAAGACAAAAAATAACATGTGGAGAAAGGGAGCCCTTGCCTACTGTTGGTGGGAATGTAAATTGATGCAGTCACCATAGAAAACAGTGTAGAGGTCCTTAAAAAGTTAAAACTACCACAGCATCCAGCAATTCTACTTCTGAGCATTTATGCAAAGAAAATGAAAACACTAACTTGAAAAATTATACACCTCTATGTTCATTGAAACATTATTTATAATCAAGATACGGAAATAATGTATCCA